GGTAAAAACAAAGACCTTGAACATAGATTTCTAATCATGCCAAAAACTAATGAGCAGAATTGCAAACTTTTAAGCTCCATCATATGTCAGGAACCCTCTTAATTAATGCAAACCCTCTTGAAAAGAGAATAGGAGTTTTCTGGTAATCGAAACACTCAATGTTGAAAGCTGAACCCAAGGTGTATTTTCTACATATTTTTATGCCTTATCAATCCTGACAATTTACTGTAAAGCTGTCGAGACAACTTGCAACCGACTTGCTCTAAGGAATAAGATCTTATCACATTATTTCCCCAGTTTACCTTGTTAAGATCTATTTTAAAAAGGCAAGATGGCAACAGGAGAGCCAGGGAATACGATCAGGGGCCGAAAATTTCAGAAATAAATGACTGCACATTCCCTAGAACTTACTTGGACACTCGCTTGGACATTAAGCTTATGTACCCTACGCAATGACACGGAAATTGAACACAAACTAAAGATAAAGGATATTATTTGTCACTTACCTTTACATCTAGTCTCAAAGGCTACAGATTCCATAAAAATGCAAAAGAAATAAAACAAGTCAGTAAAATCAATAAGGAATTCTAAACGGGTTACTCGGGTTATTAGGAGAGCAACAAAAACACACAAATAGTAGTCACCATCGACCAAAAAAACTCTAACCAACAAAACAAAACGAAATGAAATGTGTATAAATATACATCTGTAGGGTTAAATGCAGATGGACTTTACCATAGTTGCCACAAAAATACGATCAGAGTTTCAAGGAAAGACACTTCTAACCGGTCAATATGGCCGACGTGGCACTGAATGTGACCCTCGCTTTCGTGCAAGTTTTGTGAGACCGCTGTACTGATAGAACGTGGACATAAACCCATGCGAAGCTTGCAAAAATCTGCAACAGCGAGAAATTTCGCGCGCCCTCACTTTTTTCAGGTGTCAGATGGTAAACCGCAGAGGAATGAAAAAATGATGTGAGGCAGAATAATTAGCATAGTAAGAGCTACTATAACTGAGACCAAAACAATGCAAACGCGGTAGAAACTGATATGTTCATGTTCACCGCGGAGCACGCGCGCGGAGAAGCCTTTAAACTTAATTCGTCACATATTTTCGTCAAAATTAGCGCTTGTGACGTCAAACTTCTTTCACTGCCTTTGAAGATTTGCAAACGTCGTTGCGACGGTTTGGTCGAGTTATGAATTATCTTTTTATGGCAACGAAGAGGAACCAAAGTCAACAGATAATCGTCTTCTGTGGATCCTGAAACAATGAAGTCTATAAAGCTAAACATCTAGAGTCAACTGCTTCAAATTCACGAAGAAATCTTGGCACCCTGTGGAAGTGAACTACAAGCTTCGCATGTTGAGGCAGTCAGTTTTCAAGCTTTCTCTGGAATAAAGGTTAGTTGCCATAACTTTACAGATAAACTTAATTTGTTGTTTTGACAAGCTAATTCTGCACTGTAGAAAATTTTATTTCATCGCCGAGTCATGATGAATAAAAAGCAGCAAAGTGAAAAGACGATTTGCCCAACAATGAAAAGAATATTCAAAGGAGCGTGGATTCTTATGATTGCAGCGAAAGAACGATTTATATCTGAGAGCTTGTAAATTAGCTTTACCTTTGGCCTTTTGACGCTGCTACATGCCACAAACTTAAAGATTAGAACTGGTGTTGCCAGAGACCATTATTGTTGACTGCAGTTTTCAATATTTCCTTCTTTTGAGCGTTTGCCTTCGACTTGTTGCTATCTCAAGTTGAAGTCCACGGAGAAATTTGTGAGTCGCACATAAATGTTGATCGTACCGGTGAAAACTAACACTGATCTTGACGGATCCTGGTAGCTCGATATTATGATACTTATACAGCGCAGGATCTAATGTTGGAAGTAATCGTTGGACTGTGATCTTTAGTATGCCTGATCATTAACAATTTCAGATCCCAAGATATGAAAGACTACCCTGTTTAATTAGTTAAAGGGGTCTTTATTTGAGAAGATACTAAATAAGATAAAACTAGCTGGGAATGTGCTAAAATGCAAAGGCCATCGTAGTTTAGCCTTTTAATTAGGTGGTGCGACCGAATATTCAGCAACCTAACTGGGTTCCTTAAACATTTCCCGTTAGCATAATCCTAAATGTGACTGTCATTAAAGTGTGCGAAAATAGTCATAGCACTTTGACTGGCATTTCCTTTAATTTTGTAACGTGCAAGCACATCTTGTTTTGATTCTTCTCAAGAAATTTCGATAATCATAGAGAACGCACTGTTTCTAGCTAAATAATATTGATGGATGGACAGGAAGGTGAATCAGAAAAAAACAAGGCAGGAAAAATTAAATGTGGACTAACTTTTGTCATTGTTGGTAGAAATCTTTTGTGCTTACACTCATTGCACCGCTTGCTGTTTCGACTCCGAGCGTGCATTCACAGGTATGTACGAACCCGCTGACTCGAACTCCCAGTGGGAACGAAAAGCGATTCGAGTTCGCGGAAAAAAATTATTCGCGTTAGCTGAAAAAAAAAATGATTCGAGTTAGCGGGGGATTGGTGTTGGATTTCAACTATCCCGTTAATAATTAAAACAAAAATAACAATTTGTTTAACCACACTTGCACAGCCATCAGTCATTCTCATACATTCACTTTGCTTTAGAAAAGCTTTTTGATAAAAACTTTTAGTTTGGAAAGTTTAGTTTAACGTATTACGTTTTCATAAATCACGTTTATGTCAATCCTGATTAAAGATTGGGACGTGCTAATCAGCTATGTTCTGACACTTCGAAGTTTATCGACTGACGCCGTTTCTAGTTGAAGTTGGAGATCTCAGGATAAATTTGAACCTAAGGAATATAAAATTATTTCGAGTTTACTAAGTTCGAGTCAGCTGGCAGTAAATGACTGAAAAGACAGGGTCAAATTCAGGGAAAATTGTATTTTCTTGAGCTAATGGGTTTCTTTACTTCCTTTGCTAACAGCGAGATATGAATGTTAAATTTTGTAATGTCAAGGAATCCAAAAGATTGTAAACATTTAGCAGTCGAATTTGGTTAAGTGAGGAATGAATAATACTAACGAATGCAATGAAAATGCAGCATGTATGATAACAAATCAAAACATGTAGACAAGAAAAGATACAAACGAGCAAAAAGAGAATCAGATCTGCCGAGTGACCTGCGTCGCCTCGCCTTATTGCTTGAGTTCCTGAGCACATGCGTCTTCTTTCTGTTGTGTGTTTTTTCAAATCGGCGTGCCTGGCGTATGAACTCAAGTGTTAAGTGAGATGTTCCAGTGATCTTTTGTTTATTTTGGTCAATTGATTGAGGAAGTTAAGAGCTGCGAAGGGTGACATATCCGAAACGGTTTAAACACTGTGCGTAGATCTTATGAACCATAATAGAATTGGAGAGCATGCTTATCATTGAAGATCACGCGAGTATTCATCATAAATGCTTTTCTAGATCACAGTTAATGCTACTTCGTGTGATCGAACTTGATACTGCTGTATGGAGGGGAGAGATGGCCAACCGTTTCATTTCCTGTACTTCCAACTGACTGCTGGGAGTTGAAAATTGATCTGGCTTAGAGGATTAAATCTTTATTTTGGAAGGTTTGCTATCTCTAAAAACGCCTTCAAAAAAAACGCTTTGCATTGTTCTTTGATGCAAACCAGTGTAATTGTCGCTGGACATATAAACTTGTGATGAAACGTAAATACTGTTTCTTTTTATTTCACAGCAGCTGTCGCCCACAGGACCCAGGAACGCGCAGCATGTGCAAGAGTGTGATGGTTTTGTTTGTTTTTGTTATGACATTCTTCGAAGATTGTTTTGACTTCCTTGGAACAAATAGTCCTTTTATTACTGTCACAAAGCAGAGTGGAAATTCCTGGTTCAGCTCGTCACGAAAGCTGACATCTTGTCGTAGGAGAGCGCTTGCTTTCTCAGGGCACCGCGTCTGGTTCAGTGAAGAGCAGGAGATTATTTCCGCAATATATTGAGAATATACCAGGATTTATACTGCCGATTGAAGACTTGGTAAGTTCAAGATTGTCAAAATGAAGCGGCGAATGAATATTCCCTTAAATACATATTACCATTTGGTAACGACTAAGCGTTTCCAACCATAATTTTGAGTTCCACTTTGTCTCGTTCTAAAAAAAAACAGTTTCCAGGCTGCAGATTTTCTAGGATTACGTCAAGTTAGTTGGCTTACAATCCCGACGGAAATTCTAACTCATTACCCTGTCATAATTTATCTATTGAATAATTGTCTCAAACGTGACACTGAACTTTTCAAAGCAAATTGCTCAATACAATTGTCTGGTTAACTGTGAGTGCGTCAGATTAACTCAATTTAGTCCTTTCCTGAATATCGAGTAGTTTTTCCTATAAAGAAACAAGAGCTTCAAATTTTAAAACAAAACCACTAAAGCCTCCACTTAATTCGAGGGTTTCAGTTTCATCGAAGACTCAACGCGACTTAATTGCCTATTGAAACTTTTACTTTGGGAATGAATGGGTAGGAAATCGATGGCACAAATTCTGGTCAAAAACCATTGTCAGTCTGAGTATATTTTTTGAGCCCCTCGTAGCCATCCAATGCACCATATAAGTTTGTTTACATTTTGCTTTTTTTCCTTTTGTTTGAATCATTAAAAGCAAAGGGCATTCCGGCAAGCCGCCCTGTTCATTGTTCAATTTCGCGCCATGTCTCCCTTACCACAAGCATGTCCGGCGGAAGTTCAGGATTGTTCTTAAAATTATTTCTCCTTTGGTGCGTTTTTTACACTTCAATTTATTGTGCAAGTTATGTAACTTTCATGCCCATGTTCAAAACCACATGTTGTGTTGTGAGAGCTTCCCGTGCTAAGGAATAGGACAAGCAGAACAAATTTAATACGTGTGTGGGCGAGAGGTGGGAAGGGTAAGTTGCTGCTCGCTAGCTCCTCTCCCATGACTTCACAGACAATTGATGCAATCGGTACAAAGATTTTACACCCAAATTGAGTGCCTCTCGTCTTAAATCTTCCTGCGGGCGGAGAAACGCAATTAATGAGGGCCTGCTCTTAAGCTAATGAGGGAGGAAAGAAGGATGACAGTGGAAGACCCAGTAGCATTTCTTTTTAGAATAATCACCATCCTCTACATAGAATATTTCGCTTCAATTTGCTCGCAGACGTGGTCAACACACAGCACGTGCAGGAATGTACATGAGTGGTGGTCCATGCTATTCAAGTTAGTAACTCTAAATGTTTTGAGCTGTTCTTTTCATTTCTTCTGTCTGTTGTTGAGCTGATTTCTCAGTCCTCTCTTAGGAAATTAGAACATATTCTGAGAAAAGATAGATTTAGAAGTCAATGTTTTAAGTTCCTTTTAGCCACAGGATTCCTTAATCATAGATTGCTCAAGTCTTTTATTTCTGAGCCCTGCATAAAGGTTATTGCACATCATGTTTAGGTCAAGTAATTTTTTGAGGTGGAAAGCGAATTAAAAAAGATAAACAGAATGCTAGACCATACCTACCCAACCGAAAGTTGGAGAGTTGGTGAGAGGAGGGATCCAGACTCCTTGATTCCATTCCCCCTCGGCCCTTTCTGCCCTTTATTTAAGTTAATCAATGGGTTGATGTTTACAACGACAGAGTAGACAATTGCTTAGAGTTATGGTTAGAATAAAAACAGATTAACCGTCTCGACATTTTGACCGAGTGGAATGTGTAATCATTCTTATTTATCAGGTGAAAGCTTGTGAAAGTAACTGCCAGTAATTACGAAGCAAGTGTCACCCAAAGGTTTCTTCTTCACGACTTGATGGGACCATCCGAGTTTTGTGCGGATTCGTTTCAGGCTCCTTAACTGTTTCAATATTTGATCTTGATTTCGGTGGAGGATTTGTCAGCTGTCTGGTACGTTTTTTTGCGTTCATTTATTTGTGTATTTACTCGTTAGATTATTTAGTAAGCTGTCAACTTTTCATTTATTTGTTCATTAGTTACACCCTTTCGTGTGGCAGGTATGTCGGCTGATAATGTCAGCGGCCGAGAGATTGTCCGAAAAAGAAATATTTCACCGAGAAGCGAAGCTTCGTGGAACAATATGAAATTTTGAGGACAATTTTTCAGCTATGGACGCTATAAGCCCACTTACCATTAACACAGAAAGGAGCTATTAATTTTAATACCCTCCCATTAATTTTCACATCGTGGAAAAACAGCTCTTAAAAAAAGCCAGTGTTGATCTGACGGAACACTCTTCAAAAAGAGTCACTTTTCTTTCCGTGTAAGATAATGGAGAGGAAACGATGGAACTCTTTTTAGCTGGCTTTTTCCGCTGGTTTCTCTCTTTTCGACGGAAATAATCGAAGGACAGATATCAACGTAGGTGGGGTTATTGCGTGATAACTGTCCAGTGATTTTGCACCAAAGGAGCCAATGAAATAGCGCGAAAATTAATTGATGGCTTATGTGCATTTATACCTTAGAACATATATGACTAATTTGCAAAGTAAGATTTAAGATCAATGAGGACAATAAATCTTTTCTCAATCAATCTTTTTTTTTTTTCATTAAGCGTTCATCCAGTTTATGTTTGGGATGGGATGTAAATGGAACAGGTTTTATTCAATGAAATATAACGTAGCAAGGTCATAATGGCCAAACAAAGAGTGTGTTTTCCTCAATTTTAATTTGTTTCCAATTTCAATGTCAATTTTCTGGAGCCATTGCCTGTTATCTAGTTTCAAAGAACAAATACGAAAGCGATTCTGCCATTCCTTTCCTAAAAAAATATTCTCCCCCATTTAAGGTTCAGGTACATTTTATTCACGTATACTTTTATGGAAAGTCCAGAGTGTTTGGATTCGAATCTGTAGATCAATGGGCTGCCATGGTCTTCGCCTAATTCTTGTCCAAGAAAGGGTGAAAAAGTGCTCTGCTTGTTACACGTTCATACAAAGAGGACCTTTTTCCTCAGCATTGTGGTCGGTAGCTACTTAAGATAATAAGTTTACTCTATGAATCAGCGGCTTTATTGGTGTAAAGTACCATACGTGGCCTTTAGTAGTTGGAAGCCACCCTGAAAATCAATTGCCAGTTGTAATCTTAGCAGCACAAAGCTGAGTCTAAGGTTAAGGTTTATACCTGACGTATAAAAGACTGTTATTGTATCCAGAGTTGTTTTGAGTTAATCGTGGAGGCTTCTGTGGTTCTTGAGAGCAATCTTTTTTCTTCCTTCTACACTCCAGAGTAGTTGGACACCACCCTGTGAGTCCGTGGACAGGTTGTATCGTTTGCAACAATGTGCTACGTTCAGGGTTGGCTACTGCTCTGCAGAAGGGTCACAACTGACTTATAAAGGTGCACTAGAAATCACCACCCCTAAAGTATAGAACATCTAAATTTCCGGAGTAGTTGGACACCACCTTGTGAATCCGTGGACGGTTGCAAATTTCGCAACACCGTGCTACGTTCAGGGTTGGCTCCTACTCTGGAAAAGTTTTCCAACTGACTTTAAAAAGGAACACTGGGATCACCAGCTCTAAAGACTTGAATATTTTAATTCCAGAGTAGATGGATACCACCCAGACCCTGGAAAAAAACATGGACGATTACGACATTCACAACACAAAGCTCAGTCGAACGCAGGACTGAGAAAGTTCCCACTTTCTTCAAATATGAAAAACTGGCATTCCTACAAAAAAGTTAATACCTAACTCTAAAGGCTTAGAGAATACTCATTTGAAATAAGGACGAATCTTTTGTTTTTTTTCTTTATATATATATATATATATGAAACGTGCAGACCCACTGGAAACTGCCCTATAAATCAATAGGTGGTTACGGTCTTTACAACTCAAAGCTTAGTCTAGCGCAGGGTTCGCCCCTACTTTGTGGTCATACCTCACTAGTAAAATGGGGTTCTGGATACTCAGAAATGTGATGAGTTGGCTGTCGAGGCTTTCTTCGGTTTGTGACAATAATTTTACTCACTGCTTTTCTATTTATTTATTTCTGGGAAGACACCAGAGTAGTTTTACACCGCCTTGTGCATTAATGAACGCTTGTGATCTTCGCGACATTAAACTGCGTTCAACACAGGGCTGGCCATGGGTTCTACTCTGAGTTGTACAAATGGACATTATAGGACTGCTGTTTCTTTTCCTGGAGCCTTCTATTTATAACATTACCTTTATGGAGAGACTAGAGTAGGTGGACACTATCCTGTTAATGAGTGGACTGCTGTGATTTTCCCAGCCCTAAGCTGTGCCTAACACAGGGCAGGCTCCCCTGAGCTGTGAAACTGGAAAGAGAAAGTTTGGAATTCTCCCATACGTGTCGTCACCTAACTCTTGAGGCTAGAATCACTCAGAAAAAGTCGTCAGATTTACTAATCATCCTTCTGATCTTAAAGTCTACGAATATTCCACATTAGAGAAAGATTTTCTTCTTGTCCCACGCTCGTGACAAGACGAAAAACATATTGCTCTGTTTCTTTATCGAGCTCAAAACTTACCAGCTCTTTTATTCTATTCCACATTAGTTGGACATCACCTCATGAATCAGTGGATGGTTGCGATATTTGCAACACCAAGTTGTGTCTAACACAAGGCTGGCTCCCGCTTGTATTGGTTTAGTTACAACTGAACCAACGAAAGGAGCGATGTTCTTAGATATGTTTGATTGATTTATTAACTCTACAGCCCAACATACTTGGTGAAGAAACTTTCTCTTTATTATATATTATATTCTCTTGGTCCAGTCCACTATTTTACCAATAGCTCAGAGTTGTTGGACTTTGCCCTGTAAAGCGATGGACGGTCGTAATCTTTACCAACCAAGCTGTGTTCAGCACAGGGTAATTCCTTCTTTTTCATATAGGCCTGTAGAGAGAAATACTGAACCGATTTTAAAACTTTTTTAAGGTCAGTAGACTCTGCTCTGGTTTATAGTTAGCTGAAATCGTTACTAATCGTAATGATGACCGGTCACACCCAAAGCTGCGTGTAGCTGGTGATACTGCATGAATACGGAAGTAAATAAAATTACGACTGTTTTCTAGTGTAGAAGGAATGAGGTTTCTAAGATAGAAAATTCTCTATCAGTGTTCAGTAGCTATTTAGAAATAGTGATGATCACCTGTATCACTTTTGTGAGACCTTTTGTAGGCCCCCCTTGGAACGTTTGTACCTCCACTGCACATTTTTTACCCTTTCTGATATCATAAAAACGCTACTATCAAGGAAGGCTAGTCCTATCTCATTTGGAAAGAGGTTGTTTACTTCTCTTAACTGTAAAGCAACAGTCGCAATTTTTCCTTATTTACCTATGAAAAGTCACATTCCCCATTTCCAGACTTTTGCAAGTCTGTATTCATTTTGTATCAAATTTATTTTAAGATTATCTTATTTTGGGCCAAATTAAACACAACCTTTAAGCAAAATGGTTCTGTGATGATATCAAATAGTAGAGTAAATGACTTCGCTAAAAAAGTTTATTTATTCTTTTGACCACGCCCACGGCACGTTGTACCGAACGTAAGTTTGCAGAATCCTTTCTGTTGGTTTGAGGCAGTCTTGATGATAAGGCTCTTTGGAAGATTTTCTATGTTCTGCTTTCACCATTTCACCATTTTACCCCCATGTGCCTCCAGGTTTTGATTCTCTTTTAAGCGATGCTCCTAAGAGATTGAACCAACAAATGTATTCTTTAATTTTTGTCAACTTTTTGTTGTTTCAGAATAGCTTCCACTGATTTCGTTGAAACCTTTAAGGAAATTGGAAAAGCAGGAATAAAAACGCATTTAAAATTGAAAAAAGAAGGACTATAAAGCTTGCCCTCTACAATGTGCGATTACATCATAGTCACAATTTCAGTGGATGGTCTTCTTCAAAAAAGTTTAATGTGATTTATTTCAGTCTTTTTTAGTTATAAAAGTGTCTATATTCTACAAAAGAAAAAAAAGAAAGGAAAGAAGTCCAAGTAGCGTTTTCTTGAAGCTGAACAGGAAATTCTACCCATGAAATCTACTAGTAACCATGATTATTTCCTTATTTGGTAACTCTATTTGGCTTCTGTGTTAACGCAGCCATCAGATGTTGTCATTTGATTCTGTTGTCACCCTTTCATAATCCACTGGAAATATAATGAATTGAGTAAGTAAGGGGCACAGCATTTTCCTGAACCCCCAACTGTTTCTTTGTAGTTTACACCTTGGAAAAGGACGTTTCTAGGTCGGATCATAACCTTAACATTTCGTAGCTAAAACCGTTCAACCTTTCACCACGAAAAAAAGAAAAGAAACAAAAAAAAAAACATTACATATGGATAGTTAAATAACTCACACGTGTACTTTTAAACGTTTTGTAAGAAACTACCAGTCGAGTCTGTTTTTTCCTACTCACTGAAATAGATTCTATGATTTATTAACGTCGGTTCGTTCTCCCCCCTGTGTCGAGGTATTGTGTACAAGGACTTCAATATCCCTTGAGGGGCCCTTGTGCGCGCCGGGACACCCCGCTGGGCGGCATTGACAATCTGTGTAACACATTCAAATTCATCAGGTCTCGTTGAGAAAGGATCTTTAGAAGTTTCCGGCGCAAGGCCCTTTTAATTATAAATGTTGTCAAATCATTCAGCAGCATCTTTTAATTTTACGAAAATGCAAATTTTTCTTGGCGTTCGATTTTCTTTCGTCATGGACACACGTTTTACCACAAACCAAAATTGTTTTCTTTTCCGTCTCATTTCCAAAATGTTAGACCTGGGTAAACACTTGCCTGCTCGTGTAGATATTTTCCCACACGACAAGACACCTTTGCTGTTAGTTAGCATTAGTGGTATTTGTTTTGAACTCCCACACCCTAAGGTAGAAATTTGTAGACGAAACAGCAGAGCAGACGATAGATCAAAACACAAAGCCCTGTTTCGCCCTATTATTTTGATCGTGCAACAATCTTCCACACCAAACTCGGTATCTTGGATAATGCTGCTATTTTGTGTTCCACCTTTGCGGCAAACCTCAAATTAAAAAATATACATATTTCTTTAAAACACATTTTTTTTTTCCAGATAGTGGACATCATTAGGAAAGTAAAGCATGCTTTTCTCTTTTCATTTCACTCAAAAATAAACTACGAAATCAAGAAAGTCTCCCAATTTTGTATTTCTTTGTTTAATTGATCGCGAACAGAGTTTCTTTGAAGAAGCCGCAACGCTGCGCGTTCCTTTCTTTACATTGGAACACCTCGTGTGTCAGTTCAGATTTAAATAATTCGCAGACAAAGATGAATTCAAACACTCTAATTTGTAAGCGACTGGCCTGCGGTGAGAATTTGAAAGTAACCCAGAAAGCCAAATTAAAAACTCTGACAAATTCAACGAGGTCGCTATTGCCAAGGTTATTCATTTTCCTTGAGTTCGACCTGCAACATAATTACGTTTTTCTGTGGCACCCTACAAGGCAATTCTAAAAGAAATGCGAGATAACGAAAATTGGAAAATATCGCCGGCGGCTAAAATTGGTTGTCAACGCAGCACATTTTGGCTCGAAGATGAATTAGTGGTTTGAATGTCCGCTTGGGCAAAACCCTCCGCTCAGCTGGGAGGCAAAACATTGATGGCGTATTCTTATAATGTCCAAAGTTACATTACTGAGAAGCGAAAATTCAATTTCTTCCTTACATGTACCAGTGAAAATAAATAAAACCGGCTATCGTGTGGAAGTTCTTAGTAGTGTTATCTCGCATGGCCTCAAATAAATTGTAAATTTTAATATGATATTCAAGGAGTGGTTGATGAAAGTTTTATCGCTTCTTCGTTAATGTCTGTGATGCTTATGCGAATTAGATATTTGCTTTGTGCGAGCCATTATCTGCCATGACTGTCAAATAAGTAGAATATTGTATAGACTACAAAATGTAACAAGACGGGTCGAATAGCACTTCTTAGCAGTGATTTTGGTTTGATTTTACGAGATAAATTGATTCGCTCGCGTTACACCCCGCAATGCATTTGGATCGCCTGGGAAGAAAGTCGTCTTATAACACAATGTACTTTTTTTCCTTTTAAACTCGCAACAAAGATTTAACCATCAATCAGCCCATATACTCCTCCATATCACGACCTTATTGTCACTCAAGCGTTATTCATTGACCCAAGCAATATACCACACTACACAAACAGCCATTACTTTAATTGTTGTAATAACCGGATGAAATACAAACATCAATTCACTTTTCTAAGACCGACTAAAAATATTTTGCCGTCGGTAAGATTGTTTACATTTGGCTATGTAAACAGCCGTTCGTAGGCGAGGGGATTTTGTACTCGGATACATGAATATTCCTATGATTGCTTTTAAAGGAAGCATTAAAATTTATTTTTGGAACCTTTCCGATGGTTTTGACTACAACGACAGCCGACAATCCATCTTAAAGGGGCAATTTGGCACAGCCTTGACATCATACGCAATTCGCGCAAATTGGGAATCAGATAATGTGAATGCTATTTTGACATTTCTGTTTGCTGTAGTCCTTTAATGTTATCAACACAATTAATGTGTTTCTAAGTTATACAAGGCTAAAATAGCCATAACATAGTTGCCACTACAAGAGCTCTCCTCGACTACCAAACTCTGTAGCACCAATGATATATAGCCAGCTTCCTAAATATAAAAAAAAGCATGCTCTGTGAAGAATTGCAGATTTAGCTTGAAGAGTAAAAATAATGGCTAACTGCATCGTGGACAGACTTCACTAGTGGTCCATTTCTACGATTGCTTTTAGCAGATATTTATCAAGTTCCAGCCTTCCTTATGAAGCCATGAGAAAATAATACATCGGTCGACCTTCTGTAGTCGTTCGATAAAAAATTATCCTTCAATACATTCAAGACTAGCAAACATAATTGAGACTTCAGATATGATTTGACTGCCTTATTCACCTTTTGTAGTCTTGACCTATATCATGTAGCCCCTTTTTCCCATTTTTCAGCACTTACGAAGGTTTTCAACTGAACACTTTTACTGTCGTTGACAAAGAGGCCACACTTCCAGATGGAAGCTTTTAGCTTAACTTGGTTGGAAAATTCAGCAGAGATGGGCTTGCTTCTCGAACACTGAAAACGTTGATTTGAATAATGGAAGGAACACCATTCTACTGTGAGATGAAACAAATCACTGTAAAACAGTTGCACCTTATTCAATGCTTACAGTTCTGCAACTATTATCACCCACTAGGTTTCACATTTGAAACATTTGGGAGCCTTGAATTTTCCGTTCCAAACCTCTTGGGTCCCTCAAGTACATCCTGGAAATAGAAAAGAATGGTTTCAGTTGAAAGAATGAAAATGAAATATTTTTCATTGCAAAAAACAAATGAGATCTACTTTTACAGCTTTCTATGAAACTCATAAAAATTTTATTCCAAGAAGTGTAACATTGTTTTTATTCGCGCGGCGGTCTATTCTATGTCAATCAGTTCGAGAAATAATTCTATTCAGTTTTCTACGGCAACATACAGCTAACTTTATTGTTTTCCTTAGCTTTACAACCAACGTAAACAAGCTGGCATTGTAGGGAGAGATGCAAGGTGAACGATGAAACCCGTAAAAAAAACATTGCCAGCTTTTCTTTGCGTAGCTTTTAGCTTATCACCGTTAGAGTTGTGTCCATCATGATAAGGGGCTTGTTATTTGCTGATGAAGGAAACGTTAGGTGATTTTGTGGAAATAAGAGCACTTTTTCGACTCATTTTTTATCTATACATTCAAGTATCATGCTATACTTTAATAGTGCTCTCAAGGGGTCCGATCTAAAAGTTAGACTCTTAAATTTGAATGTGTGTAGCGTAATTAATGCGGAGGGGAAACCGACAAATTCAAGTGCAATTTTATCGACAGCTTTGCAATATAGCATCGCTTGATTTTGCCCAAAGGCAACGAAATAACGGCCGCTTAGATATGTATCTAAAAGCATAAAAAAATTTGCGGGTACAGCACTCACAGTCTTTGGATTCATGGATCACCTTTAAAAAACCTGTTGGCATCGAACGACTAAGGATGAGATGAGTATATGACGTTGAGATAAAATCAAACCCTTCTCGAAAGCTCGTCGCTGACTAACTATCACTTGAAGACTTTAATGAATGAAGTACAATCTTACAATGCATGAATTACAATCTTACAAATATTTGCAAACTCTTCCAGAAATTGACTCTTAAAGCCTTTGTAAATAATATGATCATAAAAGAAATAAGTTTTTTCTTTGGAACTCTTTTGCGAGGACAGTTATTTGGCTTCCGACAAAACAAACTTGGCCCCAGGGTATACATCACCCTCTCGTTTCAAGTAATGTAAAACTTCTGTCCTAAATTTGCATCTCAGCAAAATGAAATGTAAGTGGTGTTCAGAACTCTTTTTCCAAACGTATTTTAGTATCAAGCAGTCTTATTAGGGCTCCTTTAAATGAATCACTTCTCTTCATAGATTTTGATAAAACTATACTACATGGCCCTTAATCACGCTATACGATGTTACAAGCAACTTGATAGTTTTACTTACCATTACAGGAAAACTCGAAATAAATTTGCCTATATTCTTTACAGTTTTCCTTTGTAAATTTTATTATCTTGTGCAAGTTTGGCTCGGGCTTCGAACTCCTCGCTAAATTGTTACTCTGTTTTAAAACATCTCCCCCTCCTTCTTTGTCTGAAAACTCCGTATCTTACCCCGCTCTTATAACTTCCCGACTAATTTGTTGTAATCTTCTGAAAGCCATTAGTCGTAAGACTGTTTTTTGTTTGCAGTCATGGCATTGTTCGGTTGCTTGCATACGAGGGTTCTTTACTCCCAGAGTTAACCGACGTTATGTCCTCTCAGTATTGAAAATTTCATTTCTCCTCATGCTTTGGCGAAATTAAGTTCCCTGTGCGTCATTCGAGAGAAACATTTATTTGACAATTTTAAATCTTTTTGGAAGAGTTAATTCCTAAAAATAAAAATACCTGCACGTAAATATAACAAAATCAGACAAGCGTCTGTGATTTTTATTGCCGTGCGAACAAATACGACTTAATACCTAAAAAGCTCTAATCCAAGCGAGTTATGAACTAAGGCGAAATGTAGGCATCCAACAGTTAGCCTTGAATGAGATCTGCTTAAACCGTGACAAAGAGGATTATGAAAGTGATATCCTTAACCCTGAATCAGTGTGAAGCGAGTAAATTCTAAACGCGTTTGGGAGAGGACTTAGATTCAGATACATTAAGTACTTGAAAAATTGCCGGAAGACAATTGTTTTAAATTCACGGATATAATAATATTTTACTCTCTTCCTTCACAAAGTAACGATTTTTTAAAAGAGGTTTGGCTTAGTGTACGACCACTTTTACATTCCATGTGTGACTCAATTCGTTACCATAACGGTCAAATGCATTTTACATTACACCTGCGTCGTTGTTTGTACGTATTTTTTTCTTCTTTCCGATTCCTGTGTTACGTTTTCCTCGTTAAGTTTCAAGATTTGTGTCTGCAGTGTATTATGAAAAGGTCAAGGGTTCCTATGGCGAGATTTCTGACCGCAGGATCAGTTTTACCTTCTAACGTCTTAAAACTGTAACCCTGTGATTGTGGTTTTCCCGCTTGTTTCGAGGACAACTTCTTTGAGCTTTCAAGAATTTTAAATTATCACTGTCGGATGGAGAATCCATGTGCTTTCGTGTGCTGGAAACGACACTAATAGTGAGCAACTTTCCTCTCGTCTACTGTCATTGCGGCGCCTCTTCTCGGTGCTGTTTTGTTTCAATGTCAGAAAAGAAAATAAGTATTTTAAGCCATCAATAATTAGCAGCTCTTGATGAAAACAAGTTCAAGTTATATTAAACACGTTTAGATTATTTCAAGAATATTCTTATTTTGATTGTAGTGGAAAGGTTAGCGTTTGCAAAACGGTCCGCTTTAATTCGTCACAGGAAATGCTGAATGAGACTTGAAATCGCCCGATAGCCTATCGTAAGTCGACATATTTTCGTTTTATCTTACACTGCATTTTCTGAACGTTTCACCGAAGTCAAACAATTTTTCTGAGGCATCTCACGCTTCTTCAACAACACGGGTCACACACAACAAGCTCTTAGATCTAACCTTGGCATCTGCTAGAGGAATGATGTTAACTTAGTTGACACACTCTTAAACGCTAATTTCATTTATTAGCATTTTTTGGATCTGTCCACATTTTCTATCGAGGACCACAAGACTTGACTCGCTGATTCATGCCACGATCTTAACGTAAGCTCAATATTTGTAGGAGGTATCTTGTTACATTTACTTCAGCAGGTGCCGAATTTTGTCATCCGTCCGCTTTGTCTCGATTTTTACTTTCATATGCTGCGCAAAAGCTGTTTATATTATGTTTCTTTTGTTGGCCTTGGTCAGGGACATGTTTGCCTGAAAACCTCACAAAGGTACCCAAGACACAAGACAATATGTGTTTACAGAAAAAGAGCGAAGCGGGAGATTTTTTCACCAAGTTCTAGTGCACAATGGAGAGAAAAAATTTTTTCGTCAGGAAGATAATTTATTTCTGTTTGTGTGCGTTTGTACACTCTTCAATACATGATGAAGTTTTTGATAGCTCAAGTTATTACTTTGTTGATATATATTTTCATATTCTCCTTGTTTGAGAAGAAAATTGCAGCCCATTTGTTTACATTTCCAATCCATTTTCTTCGGTGTTAATTATTCGCCCACTATTCAGAAGTTCTTAAACACACGGCCTCGTTGTCTGATAATTCTTGCCATTTTAGCTTCAAAACATGCCGAAACGTAGGTAATTTAAAAAAAATAGCGTGCATAACATGGCGAACTGTTATTGAAAAATCGCAGTGTTTCACTTGCATTTGTAGCCTAATCATTACCCGCCAGTGCCAAATTTACACTCGCGCTTTGCCTGAAATTTTGGAATTCCCTTTATTTGTCATTACGTTTCCAATATTTTCGGATAACAAAACATTTCGTAATCTAGGAAGGAGGAAATTATCGTTTGCATAGCACCCGCGTAACACCTTTCATTACATAACCACTAATTGTTTATTAGTCAGAAGACTTCACTCAAAGTGGACTATGTTTGGTTTTTGTTCAAGCAAAAGAGGCTGTCTATTCGGCAATAAAAGATTTCCTTTGATATTTTTTGTAAGGAGAGACTCCTTCGCCTCAACCGCGATTCTTTCATTACTCACTTCACCCAAAATATGGAATTTTTTTTTTCAGAAAAAATCATATCACATCGATCCATAAAACGTCTTACAATGTCGATAAGGACGGGATATATTCACAGCTTTGTTTAATTCTCGGAGAACAGAATTAAGACAATACTTTGGTAAAGTGAGTGCCTGGATGTTTTCATCTACATAGCTTTATTATGTATGATGTTTTAGAAAACCTTTCTATGCACTAAATAAACTATGGGTTTTTAAGTTTTAGAAGAATTGGTTCAAGTAAATAATTTCCGGTAACCTCTCTAAACATGCAATTTGGTGCGACAAAGAAGCTGCTATTTCAAGTAGCACTGTTAAGTAAATATTGCTTTTTCGTTATCTTTGTCAAAGCAGACCGACTTACGATTTTAAGGGGCTGAGATTTTATTTACTACCTGTTCTTTGTTCTACTGTTGGATATCAAATGGCATTTTTAAAAATGATCGCTTAAGCAAGGCAAAAGACACGAACCCTGCCTTTGCTCAGATAATTTGTCTTCGATATATTTTATGTTAATACGTAGCCAAACGCTCCCTTCAGTTTCGGTACTTTGGTTCCCAAATACATAAAACGCAAACTGGGATATAAATCACAGCAGCTGAGTCAAGATTGTTGTATACGATAAATCTTTAGCTAGTAATTCATTGTTAGATCAAGCATAAGCACTCAACCACGTAATGGAAGGCTATTCAATCTTACTGAGAAGAAAAGGCCAATAGAAATGTCGTTCAACGTGTTTTGTGCTGAAGGCCAACAAAAGGAACGTAGTAAGAGTCCTAATGAAAGACATGTCATCCGTGGAACCTGTTGTTTATCCTTCTGGTTACCAGACCATGAGTGTTAAGCGAAATGGAAAGCATTGTCCGTTAGTTTTCCATCTGCTAACATATATCTAAGGCAAGAAACGTAACTTACACGCCTCGATACCGAAGGTGTTTTCCCTCTAGCTATAGATTTGTGAAAGACTACTTACATTAGCAGCCACATTACAACCATTGCCCGTACAAAAGTCGTACACACAGAACATACTGTACACAATAAACCAGGTATATCAGACTGACTAACTACCTTACAATAATAGTTTTGTTACTGGAATAATGTTGAGTCTTCAATCCTAAATATTCGGCGAGAATAGATAACAGATATAAAATAAACAGGACACTAGTAAAAGAAACCTTTCGCTTCCAGTATTACCAGGGAGATTCTTTGAAACTTTTTGCTCTCAAAGCAACCTACATGTACTAATGAAAGGATTTGCCACCGGCAGAAAGAATTCTTTCACAATTCCCTCGATACGTCCAGCAGTGGTCTCGCCCGATGATACTATTGTTGTTAAGGACTGTTAAGAACAGACCTCATCTTTTTATCTCTAGTAACTCCAAAAGTAGAGAAAAAATCATTGTGCAACATATAAAACTTCAATGCCCCTTTTGGTGTCACTTTGCCTGTTCTTTTAGATAGTTTTAAAGTGATTGAGAGTGTCACCTCGTAGACAAGTGTTACACGTGAAGGGCGTATATATGTCACCCGTTTCTTTTCATTACGAACTGACATGTGTCATGAATCTTTTGGGGTTGGACTAAGTGATGGGAATCTTGGACATTTCTTGAAGATCTTACATCTCCTTACATCGCTTTCTTGCGGAGTTAGCGCTGCTTGCCTATCACTCATTAAAGAACATCTTACCTTATAATTTATCTCATTTTCGGGACGCTCTGCAGAATCATTTTCCACACGCAGTCAGATGCATCCAACTTTCGTCCGTACTGCGCGAATCATTCTGACTTATTCCTCGGTTAAGTAACTTGGTGACTATTTAAAGTCTTGGTACACACATAGAAATAAAGAAAAACATTTTACCACACACACCTGGAGTGGTGCATGCTGCTGTTTTGGAAAGCTTGGGTTGAAAACATAGCGCAGCATGATCATGGGCATTCCGTCAAATGTTGTATTGTTTAATGATCGATGGGTCGGTTTAGCGTGGCGTATGGTTCTCTTTGCTTCACATTTACCACTTCTGTTTACTTCTCTCTCTTCTCATTTAAAACGAGTTTGTTTTAGTAAATCTCAAGAACCTCCATTACTCAATTTCAAGTTTGCTATCTGTTCCTCTTAATTACTAGCATTGATTTTGTAGCAGTTTCGGCCTTTTTAGTTTCCAGAGGTGTCTCTTGTTTCCATCTTACTAAAGCTCTTTTGACATAGAATCTAGTCTTTGTAGTAATGTGATCAATCATGTCAACATGCTGTATCAGTTTGTTTGGAGAAAGAGCATGCCACGTTCTTTTAAATTTTCCGACCGAATTTTTAGGTGGATGTTCGGGTAAAGAGGTATGTTACTTTGTTCTTCACCCTACATTCTTTTTTTTAAGGAGGAGGTATCTATGACCCCATTCGGATATGTTTTTTTCTTGCAATGAAAATTCTTCCCCTCGCTTCGTTTGTTTTATGAGAATTTTTCATTCATACTGTCTAGGTTTGAGGGGGTAAGACTTCTGATGGAAATTGTCAATTCGGTTTTACAGAAGTGACCACACCCTGGAATTATCTTGGACACATGTCCAACTAAAACTCAGTTAATTTTATTTCTTCCAGTTTTTTTTGGTATATTTTAGGGGGATACCCTTCACTCCTTTACAAGTAAGAAGCGTTGATTTTAGAC